GTCCCTGCATAAGCTCCAGGTTTCAAACAGCCAACTCATGCCACTGCTACTTTTATTCTGCCGTTTCTCCACAAAAACTTCCCGTGGTTTCATTTCTACATTTCACTTCTTGATTATTTTAAAGCTATTAGGTGTATGACCTTGTCATGAATGCAGGTCGCTGTTAGGAGAACTTGGCTGTTAGTCATTTTCTACTCTGACTATTTAAGGATTTTTTGGGGGGAGGGGAGTAGGTAGCAGACACTAGCAGGAGTCAGTCTGATGGCTTTTGTCCATCTGTAGCTGGAGCTAAGCTGATTCAGGGTGCTTTGATTTTGAAGACAAACCATCGGATTTACTTTCTTAGGAATGTGTTCTCTGGCCCTCAGTAAGCGAAACTGAATGTGCTGTCTTTGCCTGGATGCCTTTTGAAAACACATTTGGGCTTCAGTAGCACCTGAAGTTTTCCATCTTCCACAGCACAAAGCACGAGGTCTGTTTTCCCCTCCCATGCCTTCCTTCCCATGTCACCATAGTTGTCTTTCTAATCTGACAACAGGAATGGTGTGAGGCAGGAGAGAGGTCCATCCCCTGCACTTGTACTTAGTGACCTTGGGTCCAATTATGGAACGCTGCACACAGCCTCATTCGCCTCTTAAAAAACCAGGTACACTAATGCTTGTGACATACAGTTCAGAGTATTGCGTGAAAATTGAATAAAATTGAGTTGACACTTGCTGACTTTTAGTCAAATTTCTTTCAACTTTTAATCGTGATTGTGTGATAAGTGCAGGTGCACGTGGAGGCCCAAGGCTTCAGATCCTCGTGGAGCTTGAGTGACAGGTGGTTGTGAGCCACCGACATGGGTGCTGCTGGGAGTCAACTTGGATCAGCCATGTAAAACAGCAAAGGGAAAGACTCGGTATGGGCTGAAAAGGAGCATTTTTACCAATATACACAAAATGTGAGGCAGGACAATAAAGGAACAGCTGTTATTCTCCGTAGAGCACAGCGGCTTAACTGTGAGAAGTCTGAAGTAGGATAGAAAGCCACTAAACAGAAAGAGTATTCTTTTATTTGTATTTCCTTCACTGCAGACAGGTGGAAGGACTTGATCCCCAATGCCTGTGAACACCTGCATCTTCCTTTAGAAACTTCACGTTGCTTAATATCCTCTCTTCTCACAGTTAAAGGGTGGGAAATCTGCAGTGAATTCTTTATAACCCTTTGTTCAAAACTGTGATCTTTTTGTTTGTTTTCTGGATCTTCATAAAAGATTTGAGCCAGGCATGGTGGCACACACCTTTAATCCCAGTACTCAGGAGGCAGAGGCAGGCTGATCTCTGAGTTCAAGGCCATCTTGGTCTACAGAGTGAGTTCTTGGACAGCCAGAGCTACATAGAGAAACCTTGTTCAAAAAAAAAAAAAGAGGAAAAAAAAAGAGTTGGTATTTTCTTAACCTTGTCCACTGCTCCGTAATGTTTGTGATGCCTGTCAGGTAGGGCTAAAACTTCACATGCAAATGTTGGGTGAGTGTCCCACAGTCACTGACTTTCCAGGACTTTCTGTGTCTTTGTAGATCCCCGAGTCAGGCCAAGTCATCCATGCTGCTGATTTTCTAGGACAACCAAGCTGAGTTCTGCTTGTCAGCTCTACTCAGCGGCTCCACATGCTCACCCGAATCCTGAGGAAAGCCAAGACCAAGAGTAGACACCACAGAGGACATGTTGACCGACATGAATTTCTGCCAGAAGCCCCAGAGACTGGAAGTGGAGGAGCAGGAGGGGTCATGTGAGGTGAGGAGACGTGCCCCAGAACCAGAGTGTAGACATTGGAAGTTCCAGATTGTAAGCTGTGTTCCTGAGGCAACCTTGATGCTCCAGCTAAGGACTGAAACCTCAGCATTTCCTCATCTTCTTGTGACATGTACATTGTGCTGCTTCTTGGGTTTAGGTTTAACTGCCCGTCTGTATGACATCCTCGGGAGCCCTGTTTCTATTCAACCTCTCTGTCTGGAGAGGACTGGCAGGACAAAGGAGTGGGCGCACCCAAGTCTAGCTCGGTGAACCAGAGGTTATTTTGGCCTCGTTATGGGATCGCAGATGAGGAGTGGCCTCCAGAGGCAGGAGCGGTTTGGGCAGTTGTGTTACTGATCTCTAGCATGGAAGATGGTTTGTGAAAGCTGTGCCTCCAAATCATCCCCCACCCAGTTGTGTCTCGCTGGTGGGTTTCTATTACTTCTGAACCTCGCCCAGAGCCCCCTGGTGCTCCCCAGATTCACTGTGATTTTCCTGCCTCTCCACTTTTCCTCCATTCCTTCTTGGAAAATGGTCTTCTATCCTGTTTCAAGACCTCATTTACAGCGCAACCTCTGTGCTCTGCAGATCGTGACAGCCATTCCTTAATTTCCCTCCCAACATTTTCTTGGTGTCGATTTGTAAACTGTTCCTCGTTAGCCCGTGTTGAGTCTTTGTCTGAGTTTTTCCAAGAGTGGAAGCTCATACTGGAGTGCTGAACTGCAGGAACCACACACAACTGTGGGCAAGCATAGTGTGGCTTAGTAGCTGTCATCCCACTTAAATTTGGTAGAGAAATTCTGTCCTTCATGAGGGTGGGAGTGAGTGAGACGTCACATGGCAGGGTATTTCTAGATACTGTCTTCATGCCTGAATGTAAAATGTGAAATCAGGATTTTTGTGGAAAGTTTAAATGGAACTTCCTGGGGGGCGAGGAATTACTAAAAACACATGGTTACTTATTGTATCTTTCTGTTATTACAGAGATTGGTGTCCTTTGAGGATGTGACCGTGAACTTCAGCCAGGAGGAGTGGCAGCAGCTGGACCCTGCCCAGAGACGCCTGTACCAGGACGTGATGCTCGAGATCTACAGCCACCTCTTGGCAGTGGGTGAGCACAGCTGGCCGGGGGTCCAGGATGAGCCTCATATTTTTCTCTTTGCAAAACTTGGTGGAATATCAGAAATCTGTCCTAATTTCTGTTGTTTGGCTCTGGCTTCACTCCCGTTGGGCACCTTTTATGTGTTCCTTTGCATGCAGTACTTACTGTTGACTTGGGCAGTTAGCCGGTACAGAGTTCACTGGCTACCCTCTAAGAAGATGTAACAAATCCAGTATCCTTCCAATTCACAGGGTATCCCAGGCCAGAGGCCATCTTCAAGGTGAAGGAAGTTCATTTCCCACATCAGAGGTGTCAGTGTCAAGGTGAGTGACTATTGTCAGGTGGAGGCAGATAGTTGAGAGGTGTAATCAGCCAGCTGACCTACTTATCCCCTCAGGAGTGGGCACCCAGATTGCCCTTTACTCCCAGTTTTCATAGTAAACACTGTACTACATTTTGTTAGGAGTCTTTAATAGGGACAGAAAGGTGGTTACTGGATATTTGCTTAATGGTCTGTACAAATTCATAGTCTATGTTTGCATGTCATGAAACATGAAGAAATCACACATGGATTTCTGTTTGTGCATCTTAACTGTCAACAGTTGACATCAGTGTGATGTATTGCTTGTGCAATGAGTAAAAAAAATGTTTCCTTGTTTTTGTTTTTTAGATTGTGTGTGTGTGTGTGTGTGTGTGTGTGTGTGTGTGTGTGTGTGTGTATGCGCGCGCGCACTAGAAGAGGCCTGAAGAGTACTAGAGTTACAGGTGGTTATGAGCACCCATGTGGGTGCTGGGAACTGAACTCAGGGCCTCTGGAAGAGCAGCAGACACTCTTAACCACTGAGCCATCTCTCCAGGCCCTCCTGTGATATCTTTTCATAACTATTTAGAGCATCTCATTGTATCTGTTCTGTAACCAGATTTTCTATGTATATATTACTTTTTGTATGTTTTGTCATTTTGTGGTTTTCTAATTCTTTCACCCCATTTATTTATCCCTTCATTGGTGTCCTTTTTCATCCTGGCTCTTCTTTTGTGTCCTCCTAAGTGAGCACCACCATATTCCTGTTTCACATGTTCTCCTGTAGTCATTTCTTACTACATTTGTGTATATATTTATGTTCCTGGGTGTGCACATCCACTCACCCCTGTGGAGGTCTGAGGACGACCAAACTCCGATCATCGGGCTTGACGGCAAGCACCTTTACCCCGTGAGCCATCTTGTGGGCCCAGTCCGACTTTCTTACAGGAGCTGCCTCTTAGTCCTCCTGTGGTTTGCGTTGTCGTCGATACAATGCAGAACCACCTGGAAGGAGTCTTGATGAGGAATTGTCTACATTCGATTGGCCTGTGGGCGTGTCTCTGGGGAATTCCATTCATCGATGTGGGAAGACCCAGCTCTGTGGGCAGCACCGTTCCCTGTAGCTGGGTCATCCAGTGTAGGAGTACAGACAGTGAGCTGAGCAATAGATGTGCATGTAGTCAGCCTTTCTCTTCTGTTCACGTGCCTGTGATGCGACCAATTGCATCCCACCACCTTGAATTCCCGGAAATGATGGACTATAACCTAGAATGCAAGATAAAATAAGTCCTTTCCCCCTAAATTGCTTCATGTCAGGGTATTTTATCACAGCAGTCAAAATGAAACCAGGACAGGCTCCACATTTGAATTGTGGTGATTTCTGTGTTAGCCTCTGCACTCTCTGTGTGGTAAACCTGCTGCCATGTCTAGCTATTTGGAGGACTGGTCCTGTGGATGGCCCCTTCCGCATTTTTGAGACATGAGAAACTAGAGTCATCATCATCCAAGTTAGAAAGTGCTTTCCTATGAGAAGCTGTAGTTTCTTGGCTCTTGTCCTTGAGTTTATTACATCACAGTTCCTGCTCATTTTTATTTTCCAGTATACGATGTACATGACTATTTCTTAATTCTGCTAAGATCAGTACAAACTAATTCCCTATTTCCTTAGACTCTTTGTTCCTAATGAGATTTTTGGATTTCACTTAGGAATTCAGTTTAACATTCTATCAACAGGTTTTTTTTTAGAGCAAACATTCTATTTTCTTTCTCTTCTTCCTGATAGAGTTGATGCAAATATTCAGTTATTTTGTATGATGTAGAATTCACCAGCTCTTCTGGTGGCCATATATTTCCAATTTGCAAATCTCTCCAAGTATTTTTTTACTTGTGCTCTGAGCCAGGTGTAGCTAGGTCTCTGTTAATGTCTCCTCTGCTGCTCTCCCCCATTGCATATAATCTGTTGATTAGATTGCCCCGTGGACAGCAGTTTGAGCTAATAAAGAATTATGTGTACTGAATTTCCAAAGATAAGCAAAAGAGACCACTTTCCCTATTTTAGGAGATTTTTCAGTGTCTGCTAAAGTAAGTGGAAGGAAACAGGTTGTAATGGATGGTGTGGTGTGACAGCATGGGAATCAGGAAAGCAGCCTTAGTGCCTTTGTCCTGTGTGGTTGAGGGAAAGCTGCTTGGAATGCAGCTGTCACCCGAGTGTGTAGAGAGTAACTGCCCTTGGGACTCACATGAAGTAGCCTCACCCTAATGGGAGATGACATGGAGTTGATTTTGAGGGCACATGGACTGGTTATTCATAAAGTAATTTTGAATTGGAATAAAGGACGAGACCAAGTAAACTTAGTTAATTTAGAGCAGTGGTTCTCAACCTTCCTAATGTTGGGACCCTTTAATACAGTTCTTTATGTTGTGGTGACCCCCAACCATAAAATTGTTTATGTTGCTACTTTGTAACTGTGATTTTGCTACTGTTATGAATCATAATGTAAATATCTGATATGTGACCCCCGTGAAAGGGTCATTCAAGCCCCCAAAAGGTGTCATGACCCACAGTGAGAGCCACTGAGTTAGAGGATATGTGTAAATGCTCAGAGTTAGGAGTAACTGACCATTTTTATATTGAGGTTATGGAGATATAGTGGAGAAATAAAATTTATTCTAAAGATGTATTTATGTTTATTTTATATGTATGAGTGCTTTGCCTGCATGTATGCCTGTGTACCATGTGTGGGCCTGGTGCTTGCAGAGCCATAAAAGAGTGTTAAATCCTCTGGAACTGGAGTTACAGATGGCTGTGAGTGGTCATGTGGGTGCTGGGAACCAAACTTGGGTCTTCTGCAAGAGCAGCAAGTGCTCTTAACCGCTAAGCCATCTTTTCAGCCCAATATTGGCAACTTATGGAGAAGCTTTTCAGAATCCTTGTGGTGCAAAGTTTATTATAGTGCAGATGGATGCTGAAGGATTGACAACGTAGTATCAAAAAGAAAAGTGAAGACAGTAGTGTGTGAAGTTTGTATTTAAAAGTTTGTTGCCCCCGTACTAAGGGATGGGAATGGGAAGACAATAGTCAATTTCTAGGTCTACCAGCCAGTCTAGCCAAAATAGTGTCCTCTAAGTTCAGTGAGCATGTCTCAAAGAAAATAAGGTGGTTGTAGCTGGTGAGATGCTTCAGTGAGTAACATGATTGCTGTGCAGTGAGAAGGACCTGAGTGTGTGTCCCCAGCTCCCAATTAAAAACCTGTGTCCCTGTAACTCTAGCACTAGTGGTAAGCTGTCAGTGGCCTGGGAGCCAGTCCAGCGGAAATAGTGAACTCTCGATTCAATGAGACACAAAAACTAACTAGTTAAATTAATTAATTAATGGAAAGCAATAGAAAGATCCAAAGTTGATCTCTGGTGTCCACGTGTACATGCAAAGGTGGGCACACAAATACCACACAAGAAGTTGGAGAACCATAAGAGAAAGATACTTAAAGTCCACCTCTGCCTCCACAAGTGAGCACACAGACTAACACACCCATGCACACAAGTCACACATCAGAAGAACAGAAGTAGGGCCATCTGGGCAGGTGGCTCAGTGGTAAAGTGCTTGCTCTGCAATGTGAGGACCCAGGCTTAATCCCTAACACTCCCATCAGAACCGAGCACAGTGGCACGCTCCTGTGATCCAGTGCTCGGCTGGCAGAGACAGAAGAGCCCAGAGCCTTTCTAGCAGCCAGTCTAGCTGAATTGGCAATTTCCAGATTCTGTGACGGACCTTGTCTCAGAAAACAAGGTTGAAAGTGAGTGAAGAAGGCACTGAGCCGTTGGCCCCCACATGCATGAGTAAACAAATGTATACCCATGAACACAAACATTACACAGATAAATAAATTACAAAAAATAAACATTTGGGGGTGTAAAGTTCAGAGGGAGGGCTTGTGGAACCAGGGTGAAGTATGTAGCTAACCCTTACAAACAGAGGGAAAGAAAAAATGTAACAAAAAAAACTTAACCAGGTGAGAAAATGGTCAGGGCTTTTCTCCAGAGTTAATGAAGTCTCTGCCTACATCCCCTTCTTCTGACGCTGGCTGCCCATTGCCAATAAAGTCGTGGCTGTTTTCTCCCTTACTCATTTATCTTTCTATATCTATAGCACAGGCCTCCTGCATAGTTGGTTGTCTTTCACCAAACCAAGTCTTCCCAACAAATTATCTAAGTCCTCTTGGCTACTGACCAACGCTTCGGTTTCCTCACGAGGAAAAGGAGGAGTGTAGGTGCAGATGCATTGTGGGATGGCTGTGGGGATTAAGTGAGCTCATCTATTCACGGCATAGTGTCAGGTGCCCTGTGTTGTGTGAGTTCATCGAAGAAAGACGTCACTCCAAGATGAAAATTTAAGGCCTGTGTGGCAGCAGGAAGGACCAGCCTCTGATGAACTGAACCCTGAATGGCACACAGGCATATTTATTGATTGTTGCACAAAGTTGTTTGTTGGGTAAACAAGTTCCTCAAACCAAAGTCCTCATTCTAATTCATGTTTCTTTAAAGGAAAGCATCATGTCTCCGCTACTCTAGTCCTTATTGTGTACCTTTTGCAGTGCCCAATAATCCAAGAGCCTCAGGTATTCCAGAAGCATCTTGTGACCAAAGTCATGTGAAGGCTGTAATGCCCCTTCAGAAAAACAGTTCTACAAATCATGAGAAACAATCACTGTTTTCCACAATGACACTTCTAGAGAACAGCTGTTCACTGTAATGTTTACCCTGGAGACAGTGAAAACTGTTCATTCTAATGTTTACCCTGGAGACAGTGAAAACTGTTCATTCTAATGTTTACCCTGGAGACAGTGACTCCTAGATTCACACAACAGCACAGATAGTTGCGCGGCACACATGGATGCTGTATTTCGTAAGTGTTGGCATTCTAGCCACGGTAGCATTTCTCGGCCTTGTCACCATCGTTAGCATCATTACTGCCTGACACAGATTTCTGTTCAGACTGATTCCTCCTTCATCATGCTCACTGTGTCTGTTCCTTCATCTCTTCTCTTAACAGGGGAATCAGAGCATGGCTCACCACATCAGATTTGTGTGAAAGCTGCATTTCCAAATGATGTATCAAGAGAACATTCTGTTAAAGAGGAACTGTGGCAGGATGGTGGCCCTACAAAGACAGATCAGCAAAACCAGATCCCACTCTTGAGTTCTGGCACTTTCTTCAACCAGAAAACACTGATAGGTGACAATAGTTATGAGCGTGAAGCCACCGGGAGATATATACCTTTAGGCCTCCACCTCATTTCTACACAAAACAGATCTCCAAAATGTTGCTCATTTGAAAAAACTCTGCAGCCTAATCCTAACCTTCAAGCAAATGGTGAACCTCAAAGCATTGCCCCAAAGCAGTCTAATGGCATTGTTGAATCCTGTCAGTTCTTCACACAAGGCCCTTCTAATGCTGTGTGCACAGTTCCTAACAGAGAAGAGAAAGCATGCAAAGGTAAACAGCTGGGAAAAGTTCTCAGCCCTAAGCAGCCACTTAGACAGCATGAAATTCCTTCTCAGGACACGCCGGTTGCATATACCATATATGGGAAAGTCTCCACTGCTAAGTCAGCTTTGTGTCAGCAGCAAATTGCTAACACTATAGAGACACCTTTTATTTGTCACATATGTGGAAAATCCTTCCTTCAGAAATATGAGTTGAGTTCTCATCCAGGAACAAACAGAGGAGAGACACCTTCTGAATGTCCTGACTGTGCAAAATCACTTAGAAGTACATCCAGCCTGCAGGTGTCTCATGAAGTCCACACAAAGGAAAAACCTTACAAATGCCATGACTGTGGGAAATCATTCAGCTATGCATCCCACCTAAAGGTCCATCTTCGAATACACACAGGTGAGAGACCTTATGTGTGTTCTGACTGTGGGAAAGCCTTTAGCCAAAAATCAGTCCTCACCACACATCAGAGAATTCACACTGGGGAGAAGCCTTACATGTGTAAGCACTGTGGGAAATTGTTTGTTTATGCATCAGATCTGAAGAAGCATAGTCGGTTTCACACAGGGGAGAAGCCTTATGAGTGCCTTGACTGTGGAAAGTTGTTCAGTAATAAATCCCACCTGCCTGTGCATCATCGAATTCATACTGGTGAGAAGCCTTACAAATGCTGCGACTGTGGGAAATCATTCAGAAGAAAATCCCACCTTAAAGTACACAATCGAATACACACTGGTGAGAAGCCTTACATATGCCCTGATTGTGGGAAGGCCTTCAGCCACAGTTCAGTTCTCAGCACACATCAGAGAATTCACACTGGGGAGAGGCCTTACACTTGCAGTGACTGTGGGAAAGCCATGTCATCTAAAGCCCAACTGAATGAGCATCAGAGAATCCACACAGGTGAGAAACCATTCGTGTGCATTGAATGTGGGAAAGCTTTCAGTGGCAGATCCTCTTTGCAAGTACATCGTAGAACTCACAGTAGTGAGAAACCTTTTGTCTGTCACAAATGTGGGAAAGGCTTCCTGCGCAAGTCACAGTTGTCATCTCACCAACAAACTCACACTGGTGAGAATCCTTAGGAGTGCTGGATGTGTGTGCAATTGTTCCGCCATGCATATCGGCTGAAGGTACGTCATCAAATTGAAATGGAAGGAAATGTTGCCGGTACTTGACTAGGAAAGTTTTCAACAACTGAAGGCTCATCTGTTTTAATCTGTGCAGAAAGACCTGATTTCAATAGACCCAGGGACTCATTCATACCTCACACTGTTCTTACAGATACTGTGATCATATGAAAGGTTTTACCACAGTCAATTCTTTAACCATTTTTTTTTATTAACTTTTTATTTATTCTTTGTAGATGGATTTTTCTTTTAGGGCCACCAGCTCACAGAGAATGACACAGAGACTTACTATTAATTATAAAAGCTCGGCTGGTATTTTAGCCTTGTTTCTAACTAGCTTTATAACTAAATCAACTCATTTCTGTTAATTAACTTTCTGCTTTGTGACTTGATTACCATTACTCTGTACTGCCCATCCTGCTTGCTCTGTGTCTGGCTGGAGACTCTGCCCTTCTAGCGTCCTCTGTGCCTGGAAATCCTGCCTAGCTATTGGCCGTTCATCTTTTTATTAAACCAGTTGCAGTCACATCTTCACACAGTGTAAAGGAATATCCACAACAATTCTTTGTGTCTTTTACATTATGCATCTCGATCCTATTCATTTCCCTCCCTTTTTTATCCACCCTCTGCCTTTGCCTACCCCCCCCCTCAAATAAAATAAAATTTAAAGAAAAATCTTGTCATTGAAGCTGCAGTGTGACACAGTCATACAGTAAACCCTTTCGTCCATACATCTTTACTTGCATGTGTTCATCGCAAGGAGTCATTGGTCCAGTTCAAAGCCTCTGGTTTCTGCTACACTATTGATGCTGGGCCCTCACTGGGACTCCTCTTGGATATCCTGGTGTTGCCCTGTGTCATGGAGAACCTGCAGCTTTGGGTCTTATTCATGTTTTTAATTTAAATAAAGAGACCTAATTATAGCTATACATTACTTATTTTAAATTCACAAATTATTATACCTGAGGAAAAGAATAAAGACAAGGAGAAGCACAAATATCCATGTTTATGCACTTCTGTTTATGTGTGTGCATGCCTCTGGGTGCATGTATTTGTGGATGTTCTTGTGTATTATGAGAACTCTTTTCTTGAGAAGACAGATTTCTACCTTCTCCCAAGAATTCCACCAAAGCCCAACTTAGGGAACCAGTGAGTTTACTGAGCACGCTTACAGAACATGAGGGATACTTTCAGGAGCCTAGGTGACTCCAAAGCAGCCACACTACTTAAAAGTTCACCCCAGCATAGATGACAACTTCCCCATAACTGCATAGATGACATTCCTTCAATTAATCTACCATAGTCTATACTTTAGCATCTTCCAAAACCATGAGGCTACAAGACTTGGAAGTATTCTGGAGTTGCACAGTGACCATTATTATATGGTAGTGGTTGCTGGCGAATTTGTCATGAATTTTCTCTCAAATGAAAATGTGTATCTATAACTACAAGTTACAAGGAGACTCCAGTTTTCATGTGATACTGACAAAGATATAAAGAGTTTGCAGGGACTGTGATCTGGCTCACTGCTTGTCTGTACATTTAATCCCAGTATGGAAAAGCAAAACAGCAGTTGAGAACCCTGTTGAGAATTGACAATTGTCCAGAATTGTCAAAATTTAAAAGATGTGATCCAGCTACTTTTTGGTTATTTTATGTCGATGACACACATTTATGGACATAGATCCAAGACTGTTTTTACATATTTCTTCAGCAGAATGAAATCAGATATCCACAGAGTTGGGGTCTCTTGTATCAGGGGTCTCTGAATTGAAACATTCTGTCCTGGAGGGAGGCTTAGTGGTTGCAAACATTTCCTGTTCTTCCAGAGGACTTGAGTTTGATTCCCAGCATTCTACATCAGGTAGCTCACAAATATCTTTAAATCAAGCTCAGGAGGATCTGTACCTCTGGCCTCTATGGGCATCTGCACTCAAGTGTACATACCCACACCAACACATATTTAAAAGATGCCAGGAGCAAACAACTCACAAGTCTCAAGAAATTACCAAAACATAAGGTTTATAAAGGCCTCTCCTCAAGGTTATGAAGTAGTAATTACTGCAGGGCATGAGAGGGTCTCTGATCATAAAAAGCTGCCTACAAGTTGTATAGGGAGCTCCATGGAGGCAGTCATCATCCATGCTGGGCTGGACTTTCTGTTGATGCAGCTGCTTTTGAGCTATGCGAGCCTTTCTAAAGAACCTCTCATTCACACTCCAGTAAGTCCATTACCTCATTGGTTCACTGATTGGACTTTTGTGGAATCATGACTTTGGCCTGTCGTCAGTGCCCTATCTGGGATAAATAGACATTGTTCACATCTCGGTAAGTCAAAACAGTCCAGCATTTCACTGGAGATCACTGTCATGACTTCTTAGCTTATGTTTTATGGGTGTTTGCCTGCATGTATGTATATGCACAAAGGCCAGAAGAGGGCATCAGATCTGGAACTGGAATTACAGATAGTTGAGATCCACCATGTGGATAATGGGAACCAAACTTGGGTCTTCTGCAATAGCAGCAAGTTTCCCTAACCACCCAACTTCTTTTTTTAATTGGATTATTTGTTTACTGGATTTTTGTTGTTGTTGTTTGTATATTCTAGATACTAACCCATATATATATATATATATATATATATATATATATAATTGTTAAAGATTTTTCCTTATCCTATAGACTGATGTTTTGTCCAAATGATAGTGTCATTTGCTGTACAAAAGTTTTTTAGTCTCATGATGTCCCATTTATTGTTGGTCTTAATGTCTGTGTTATCAGTGTCCTGTTTAGAAAGTCCTTTCCTGGGCCAATGAAATCAAGCCTATCCTGCACTTTCTCTTTGGCCAAATTCAGCGTATCTGGTTTATGCTGAGGCCCATGATCCATTTGGAGTTTTGTGCAGAGTGATAGATATGGATCTACTTTCATTCTTCTCCATGAGATATCCAGTTTGACCAGCACCATTTGTTAAAGATGCTGTCTTTTCTCCAAAGTGTATTTTTGGGTTGTCAAATCAGGTATCTGTCTGTATGTATGTGTGTGGGATTATATCTGGGTCTTCAACTCAATTCTATTGATCAGCATGCCTGTTTTCATGCCAATACCATGCTGTTTTTATTACAATAGCTCTGAAGGACAGCTTGAAATCTGGAATAGTGATACCTCCAGCAATTCTTCTATTATTCAGGATTGTTAGCTATTCTGTTTTTGTTTCTTTGTTTTTTGTTTTGTTTTTCTCCTGTGTTGCCATATGAAGTTTAAGATTATTTTTCTTTCAATTTTTATGAAGAATTATGTTGGAATTTTGATGGAGATTGTGTTGAATCTGTAGGTTGCTTTTGGTAGGATGGCCATTTTCACAATATTAATCTTATTGATCCATTCTTTCTATCTTCCAATATCTTCATTAATTTCTTTTTTTAATATCTATCTTGAAGTTTCACCTGCTTCGTTAGAGTTATCACAAGTTGTTTGTCTATTTGAGGCATTGTGTTTTCCTAATTTTTTTCTCAGGTATGTTTGTCATTTTGTGTATTGGAACGCTACTTGTTTTGTATGTTAATTTTGTATCCTGACACTTTTCTATAAGTGTTTATCAGCTGTAGAAGTTTCCTGGTGGAGTGTTCAGGGTCTTTTATGTATACAATCATATCTGCAAATAAGGATGCTTTGACTTCTTCCTTTCCTATTTGTATCCCTTTGATCTTCAGTTGTCTTATTGCTCTAGCTAAAACTTCAAGTATCATTTGAATTGCTGTGGAAAGAATGTGGACATTGTTTTGTTTCCAATTTTAATGAACATGCTTCTGAGTTTCTCTCCATTTAGGATGATATTGGCTGTGGGTTTGCTGTCCTTTATATCCCCAGAGTCTCTGGGACTTTATCATGAAAGAATGTTGGATTTTGTCAAAGGAATTTTCTGAATTTAATGAGATGATTATGTGTGTTTTTCTTTCTTTTTTTTTTTTTTTTTAAGATTTATTTATTTATTATGTATACAGCATGCATGACAGCAGTCCAGAAGAGGGCACCAGATCTCATTACAGATGGTTGTGAGCCACCATGTGGTTGCTGGGAATTGAACTCAGGACATCTGGAAGAGCAGTCAGTGCTTTTAACCTCTGAGCCATCTCTCCAGCCGGTGTGTTTTTTTTCTTAATCTGTTTATGTGGTGGATTGCATTTATTGATTTAAATGTGTTGAACCATCCCTGCATCTCTGGAAGGAAGTCAAATTGATCATAGTGAAATTGATCATATCTTCAAATAAGCCAAATTGATCATATCTTCTTGAATTCAATTTTCAAGTATTAAGAATTTCTGTATCTGTGTTCATAAGGGATATTGATATATAATTTTCTTTTTTTTTTATTGAGTCTATGTGTTTTTGGTATGGGATAATAGTGCCTTCATAAAAAGAATTAAGAAATGTGCCTTCTTCCATTTCTATTTTGCACTCTGGATCTTTAGTGGAGCTAGGTCCATAAAACAAAGATTCAGGGTCTGCAACATAGATTTTCCCCATAGAAGGCTAGAGACCCAAAGAGCATCTGAGAAGCTCTAAGGATCCAGAGTATATCCAGTGCTGTTTTACTAGAGGCAATTACATGTAAAGATACTATACAATGATTAAAGTATGTTTACAGCTAACAGAATGTTTTGTTTAATAGATAACCAGGGGAAACAAAAACAAGGAAGTATGGATAGAAAAATATACAGAAACTTAAAAGGCCTGAACATCTTAAGAAACAGTACATGCCCTGAACCTTGAGGTGGACGTGTCTGTTGTACAGACTATTTTCCTCTGTCAGTGTGACAAGGGTGCTCTTAGATGCAGGATGTTTCTTTCTCATACAAGGCTGCTGACAACACTTTACAGCCTCTCCTGCTGAAAATTCACATTGCCAGCTCCCAGTCCTGTTTCATGGACTGAGCTGTGCTGTCTGCAGCAAGCATCACACCAGATAGCTCACAGATACCTGTAACTCCAGTTCCAAGGAATCTAACTCCCCTTTCTAGTCTTCTTAGACATCTTGCACATCCATGGCATACACTCAGACATACATATACCTAAATAACTTTTAAAAGGAAAAAAAATACACACAGAGGGTATTTTTCAGAATATGTTCAGTGTGGAGCCAGATGTCTATAATTATAGAAAGGGGAAACTAGGGACGGATGATTGCCTCTGAAAACCAAAGCAGATAAATTATACTGAAAATATGCGATGTCAGTTTAAGTTAGAAATAGGTTACTGTACACAGTATTAAGAAATGGCCCGTCAGTGTGGTACAGCCTCAGACTTTTCCTTTCATTTACCCACCCCTCCCTCAGTTGCACTGAGTGACAAATCCTTACTTCTGTCCCCCAGTATCATGATCCTATGGGTGCCGCCATGACACTACCCGAGGTAACAGGAAACAGGAACTCATAAGTACTGAGGTAACAGTACTCATAAGTACTGGCACATCACAACTAACGTTAGTAGGCATTGGTACCCTCCTCCACGTGATTCCTACAGCAGTTCAAGCCGAGGAGCACCAGGAGGAGGTGGCCGTGGAGGAAGCCAATCTGATAGAGGAGGCAGAAGCAGATACTAGAACCAAGACTTTGGATCAAGGTCTCCATTCAAAGAAACAAAAAGATGGAAAGTCTTCTGTCGTAACTACCCAA